AAAAACAACAAAAACAAAAAATAATAGGGCCAGCAGAAGTTAGTGAGTTCCTTTGTTGGCCTTGTTTGGTTATTGGGCTATGCCCAGCTTTAGGGTCATTTTTTTTCTCAATTTTGTCATCTAATTTTAAACTGGAAGTTGGTTGTTGTGAAATGATGATTGCATGTAGAACTGTACTGGTTTAGCTATTACTCTGAAACATGGACAGGACCAGGCAGTTGGACTGCATACTATGTATTTGGATTTTGGTTGCTGAACATAGTTGTCAATGCATCGCCTAGGCACCCTTGGCTAGGTGCCTTGACTTGTGACAAGGCACCCATCTAGGCGACTAGGTACCTGCCTGGGCAATAAGGCACCTCCTGTGGTGACAAAAATGACAAGGCAGGAGCCATGTTAAAATATCATCCATATTGATACATCATATTAATATGTGTGTTAATACATTCTATTATATACTATATTATCATTTATACTTCGTTTTAAAGTTTTACTGTTGAAATATAAAAGGTCCAAGGGTTTTGAGAAGAAAAAAAAAGAAAGAAATAACAGAAGTATAATGATGTTTCTTTTTCTTCTTTTTCTTTCTTGTATTCTCTCTCTCTCGCTCTTATATTGAATAAAACTACAGCTCTACCCTTGTTCTTTTTCTTTTTACTTACTTTCTATCTTAAATTTGATCATATAAAAGTTTAGCCTTCTTTGGTTGCTAATTTGATATGAAATTTCTCTATCAATATTTATTATATTAGTATTATTTTGCAAAGCATTGAAATTAATGTATTTGAAATACTTTTATCCTAGATATGATGATTTGCCATGTTTTGAGAGAAAAATGTTTAATGTTCTTAATAAACTCACTATTTTTTCAATTAATATACATGCTGAATCCTGAATGGTATATAAAACTTGGGAGATAGGTAAGCTTTAGTTTTTATTTTTTGAAATTCTTGTTGACTAGGTTACTAGGTGCCTCACTATCACCCAAATGCCTATACACCTAGACAACTATGTTGCTGAAATGGTATGAGAGTGAAGGGTATATTTGCCTATATAATGTTTTTATTATTATCAGGGGGATTGTTCATTTGATATCTTTTTTCTTTCAAATGATATAAAAATTCAAGAGTGGGGCATGACCCCTAAGTTTCCCTCCAAATATCTCTTCCTTTTCCTTACTCCACTGGTTTTTTTTGCTCTTTTATCATTGGGTCACCGTTATAGCATAACAAGTTGGTATTGGAGTGGCATTGAAGATTCTCCTGATTGACAAGACCTCATTGATGTCACTAGCTATACAGATGATGTCACTAACCATACAGTCAACCTTTAGTCTAGTTTGAAGAAAACCCTTTATTCTAATAGAGAACAAATTTAGGGACTTTTTCATGGAAAAAAGATTCTGGGTTGAAGAAATTTCAGATTTTTTATTCATTTTACAGTAGAAAAATACCAGATTTGGTTTTCTAGTTTGTACTGATTAGTGATAAGAGGTTTTTGGATGGGACTAGGTGTATTTAATCTGCCTCATATTTCTGAAAGGAGACAAGTGGTCTTGCATTTTTCTGATGCTTGAGGAAGTATTGGTAGAATTTTCTTCAAATACAAATTACCACCCAGGCCTGTTTATTGGGTATATTTGAACCATTTCTTCCTACTATGTGTGGTTGAGGAGATATCTAATAGCCCCTGACATGGTTGTGATATTTGTTTATTGCTATATGGGAGCAGTTTGATGTGTTTTATTCTCAGTCCATCCCTGAAGTCTCCCTTCTGGTAGTGGGAGTTTGTTACTATGTGAAGTAACAGGGTCAAACTTTGGCTTGAAAATTGGCTTTTGAATATGATAATAAGAGGGCTTTGGAACCTAGTGTGCTGTTTATTGGCCCATTGGTTCTTGATCCCTAGTTCTAACACTAACATGCAAATCACTACTGTGAAGTAGATGGGACATATTGTTTGGAGTGAGATCAATCAATGAGACTCTCCATAGGTGCCAAAGGAAAGTTGGGATACCCAATAGGGAAGGAACTTTATGTTCCTCAATTGTAGGAACTTTATATTGTAGGAACTTTATGTTGTAGGAACTTTATGTTCCTCAATTCAGCCAGGGAGATCTGGGATGCATTAATTGAAGCATACTACAGGTTGAGAACACTGCCAGAGTGTATCAGTTGAGAAAATAAGTGATTGATCTTCACCAGGGGATCTGTCTATATCAATGTATTTTTCTTCATTACAGTCATTGTAGAAGGAGATTGATGATTTGGAGGTGGAACAATGTATTTCATGGAAAAACAATCTCACCTAGATTGCACAACCTTGGTTTCTATTGGGAAAAAGGAGTTAGGAAGGCTGTCCAAAGTGAAGAACTTGAGGAGATTATTTGTGATTATTGTAAGAAACCTCACTATACCCAGGAGAAGTTCTAGAAACTCAATTCTCACTTGAGACCATCCAAGTTTAAGGGAGAGAAGAAAGGCTTTGCTAACCTAGTCACCACATCTCAGCAGCCTATGACTACTACTACTTAGCTAAACTAGTCACCACTCTCAGCAGCCTACAACTTCTAAGCCTTCCATTGCATTTTCCAAGTTAAGTATCCACTCCATGGCATATCATTCATCTACACTCCATTGAATCATAGACTATGGGGCTGCAAACCATATAACTGGTGTATCTTCTTTCTTTAATTCTTATTGATTAACCTCTGGTAGGGACAAAGTTTCTGTTGTCAATGGTTCACTTGCTCCCATTTGTAAGATTGGTGATATTAGACCTAATAATAATATGCTCATTGATTCTGAATTCATGTTTGTCAATTGACTACAAATCTTTTTTTTGTTAGTTGCATAAGAAGAAGATTATATGTTGTAGCTTTCTTTCCTGTCTTTTCTGGTATTCTGATATTCATGTTTCTCAATTTGGTTAGTTGCATAACCAAATTTTGAAAAAAAAATGGTGCTAGAAACTTTAATTGGGATCCAGGAGTTGATGAGGGTCTATATGGCTGTTCTATTTGGCGAGGCATTGTGAAATTCTGCAGTAAATTCCTTCTAGGTATCAGATTGAAGTTGGAAGTTGGGGATAGAATGAGTTTTCTTATGGGTTTGTGCTTTTACTGACTGGGTTTTTAGTGTCTGTATGTGGTACCTATGAGGCAGTTCAAAATATTTATGAAGTGAAACTCATGTCTATATTTCAAGTTTTTCTTTTTGCAGAGTCATGGATGGAGGAGACTGGCTATACATACTGACTCTAAAGTTGTTGTTCAGGCTTTAGAAAGAACAGATCACTGTATCCCATGGTTTAGTTTAGAGTTTTTGGACAAAGTTTTAAGACTCTTGAACGACTTTGTATATATTAACTTCTCTTATATTCCTACAACAGTTAATGTGAATAGTGCATAGGATAGCTCTGCAGGCTAAATCTTTTGATGGCCAATTAGTTTGGTGGAGTCACCCACCTAATTGGTTGGAACCTTTTGTAGCTGGTTTTTCTTAGCTTAATATTATCTCCTTTGATCTATCAAAAGAAAAAAAAAAACATTTTATTCCCTTCTTTATTAATTCTAGCTGAAAACAGAGACGCTAGAGTGATAGACAACTATGAATTACAAGGTGGAAAGGTGTCTTGGTGTCCATCCCTAAGAAGAAATCTGAACAATTGGGAAATAGAGGAGTTGGCTGCTCTTCTCAGCTTACTTAATAGACAATGGCCAAATCCAGATCAGGAGAATGTAAGAAGCTGGAAGTTGGAAAGTTTCAGGTGTTTTTTTTTTCTGTGAGATCTTGTTACTTACAACCAATTTAGATTCAGACTGGGGATATCTCTTTCTCTCTCTCAATGATGTTGGTTCTTAGTTTCTCATTGTATGAAGTGCATTTGGAAGAACTGGTTGTTATTAGTCTTCAGTACGTAAATTGATCTGTTGGGATGCAGATACCTTTGGCCATTCCTCAGACTTTCAGAGTCCAGACCAAGTCCATCACCTACATCATTGATGATGTTGGTTTGTAGTTTCTTGTTATATGAAGTGTGTATGGAAACAGAATTGGTTGTTATCAGTCTTGAGTATGCCCATTGATCCCTTGAGATGTGGATATCTTGTGGTGTCTCAATAAAGCCTATTGTTTTCCTTAAAGTTGTTCTGATCATTTGTTGGCTATTTGTTGGCCTTGGAGTCATCAGATAAGTTCTATTGTAAGTTTGAACAAGTGTGTGATTGGTTGTTTCTTCCATAATGTCTGTTTTGAGTGGTATTTCAGATAACCATACTAGCTCTGATTGGTTGCAATGTTTGTTTGGTATGGGTGATCATCCTGGGATTGAAGTCACTACTGTGAAGCTTACAGCAAAAATTGCTTGGAGATGTCACCACCTGTTAGAATATACAGGAGTGGTTATGGTGTCACACAAAACAAGGACATATGAATAGGAATTCCCAATGAAGAAGATCAAACGTTTGAGAAGTGGGATGCATTGCTGTTGGATTCCATGCTTCTCCATTTCAGTAGGAAGGATCTCCTATATAGTTATTGGGTGGGCAGCGGGATTGGCCCAATGGTTAGGGAAGCTTTGGCTTATCTCTTTAGCATAGCATTATTTACATAAAAATTAATATAAAGTTGGCTTGTTATTGATAAAAAATATCAGTAGTAACTATTTATTCCTTGGGACTGCTAAGGAGATTTCGGATCTTCTAGTGGAAACTTCCTCTTAAAGGAAGAATATTGCTTGTATCTACCAGTTAAGGCAGGAATTTGCATATATTTGTCAGGAAGAGAGTATATACACTCCAAAGCTTCTGTTTGGTGAAGGGCTACTATCAGTTCGTTGAGCGAGAATGTGTTGTAGATGGGAAGAAGTCTTAATTAGAAGATGGAGAATATAGAATATGAGTTTTTAGCCTGATTGAATTCAGAGTTCAAGTTAATATGG